GCCTCCGACGGCCAGTCTACGGTCTCCGCCAGGCACCGCGTGAGTGGCACGACACACTGAGGACTACGCTTGCGGCTCTTGGGTTTGCTCCTTCTACTACTGACCCGTCGCTGTTTCTTCGCACCGACACTTCCCTGCCGCCGTTCTACATCCTCGTGTACGTCGACGACTTGGTCTTTGCCACAGCGGACACTGCTGGACTCGCCTACGTGAAGTCCGAGCTGCTGAAGAGACACACGTGCACAGACCTGGGTGAACTGCGCAGCTACCTTGGCTTGCAGATCACTCGGGACAGAGCACGCCGCACCATTACCTTGACTCAGTCACACATGGTGCAGCAGGTCCTTCAGCGCTTCGGCTTCACGTACTCCTCGCCTCAGGCCACTCCTCTGCCTACTCGCCACTCACTCTCAGCTCTGCCTTCGGATGAGTCCGTAGAGTCGAGTGGTCCGTATGCAGAGCTTGTTGGCTGCCTCATGTACCTGATGACCTGCACACGACCTGACCTTGCATACCCTCTGAGCATTCTTGCACGCTATGTTGCTCCTGGGAGACACAGACCAGAGCACATGGCTGCAGCGAAGAGGGTATTGCGCTACCTGTGCAGTACGTCGGGCATGGGGCTAGTGCTTGGAGGGCGGAGTCCAGTGGTCCTTACCGGCCACGCGGACGCTTCTTGGGCTGACGACCAGGCTACGCAGCGGTCGTCACAGGGTTACACCTTCAGCCTTGGTTCCGGCTCTGTCTCGTGGCGGTCTACTCGCTCGTCTTCGGTTCTCGGCTCCAGTTGTGAGGCTGAGATCTACGCCGGGGCCATGGCTGCACAGGAGCTTCGCTGGCTCACCTACCTGCTGACTGACCTTGGAGAGCCGCCTCGTTCTCCTCCTGTACTGTACGTAGACAACAAGGCCATGCTGGCCTTGTGTCGAGAGCAGCGCTTGGAGCACAGAACGAAGCACATTGCTCTCCGCTACTTCCTTGCTCGTGAGCTGCAGCAGCGTGGTCAGTTGCGACTTGCGTACGTGGCCTCTGAGGCCAACACTGCTGATGTGTTCACCAAGGCACTCGCACCTTGTGACCATCAGCGCTTTTGCACCCAGCTGGGTCTTGTGCCTGTCTTGCCTCACTTGCTCTCCCCTTGACTTCACTTGTACTGTGACATATATATATACCTGCTCTTACTTGTCTAGTTTTATATATATGTCTGTACTCCTGCATGTGAACTGGCCTCTGGCCCTGCTCTTGTGCTCGGACTGTGTGGTGACTTTGTGATCCACCCTGAGCTTGCTTTGCTTTGCTTGACTGGTCTTGTGACCCCTTGTTCTCCCCCACTTTGCCTATGGGGGTGTGTCAAACATTATATATGTTATGCTTGTGTAGGCTACAGTGGGTTAGCCTATAGGGGGTACACAATTCTAGGGTTTCCTACTTGTACTCATTTTCACTGCTAGTTCATTCATTCCTGTTCGCTTATTCTCACAGCTGCGTCGCTTCGGCTCTTCTGACTCCTCAACTTCGTACTCGGTAGAGTCGGCTCCTGCACCATACAGGAATGCCTTCTCATAAAACTTCACATCGTAACATATTGCATGCCTATGATGTTGGATCGAAGTGTTAGAGATGTCTCAATAATAATGCTGAAATGATTGTGTATTCTTTGACAAATATTGAGTTCAGCTACTTCTTGCTACTGCCTGCAGATTGTAGACTGTCAGCTTTTCGATGCCATAACCAGCTGGGAAAATAAAACAGTTTCTCATACATCAAGTCAAGGTATACTGTGCCGAAAATACTCATGCTGTTGGGATATGACTGAAATTGTTTAATATGTGACTTCCCTATTGGTATTTGTCCCATCCAGTTCGTTTCTAATTCGCTCCTACTACTACCGTATTCGTTTATATATTCGTTTCTCGTTACATGTTTTGTAGCTTGTCTCATTATTGCCTCGCGTTCCCTCTCGTAATGACGTGTCGCCATCTCCCCATTCCCCGTCGCCCTTACTTTCCCCATCCCGCCGCGACCAGCAGCCATAAATGTTTCACTCATTTTTGCTGGACACATTGACATTGACAACAGCCCTCGCATCTCACGTCACTTGTCCATCTTTGGCCCACCCGCCCTTGCTTCACTCCTGCTACCGTACGTCGTCCTGCTAGTCAGCAGTCAGCTAGGCAGTCGCCATCCCTCGCTTTTCTCGCCCGATTTCTTCAAACAGTGAGACAGGGTTGGTTTGAATTTTATGCGTGTTTAATTTTTCGCATGTCTCGGCTCCAAACCAAGTCTCCTGAACTTGTTCAAAAGCCGCCGCAATACCAGTTCTGGGCAGCAGAACCGTGAATGTGTATTCTCAACGCTTTTAATCTCAAATCCACCTGGGAATAGCCTTGCAAGGGGCTCCGGTCACATAACATTGATTGCCGGAAAATTGGCCGCATGGCGATCACAGAGGCTACACGCCCGGAAATTCCAGTAGTAGGCCCAATCACTTCAAATTGCACGTCCGTCATCACGAATTGCTGCAGCCGCAGCAGCAACAACAGCGGCGGAGGAACGGAGTTCTCCAGCGAGGGTTGGTCCATCAAAACGAGCTTCGCCGCTGACGGTAACGCTAACGTCGATGCAGCAGCGGCAGCAATAGCAGCAGCTTCTGAATCGTCCCCCTCCACCAACAGTGGCACTCAAGGCAATGGTGGCTCCGCCCCAAGTAAGACGACCCCCGTTTCCCCAACAACTGCAGCGACGGCCGCCGCCGCCGCAGAGAGCACTGCCGCCGCCGCCGCCATCGCCGCGGCCACCGCGCCGCCAACATGGGAGGAGGACCTTCAGGCGCAGATGCAGGAGTGGTTCCGCGATTCCGATTGGGTGGACGAGCCGCCGTCCATCACGGTCACCATGGGCTCCGGCGCGGTCTGCCAGCTGGACTGCACTGCCACCGTGGCTCTTCCGCCGGATGCAGTCTTTAACGTTGTCCGAGACCCACATAATCGGCGCGTTTTCAAGAACGTAAAGGTGAGCAGAAACAATGTTTTTGTTCTTGAGTCGCCATGTCAATGCTGGCCGCCAACATAAAGTTTTACTAAACGCGGCGTAAGTAGGCATCATCGTTTTCGTCAAATTTACCTTTGCAGTTCCCCCTCAAAACACCCGCCATGCTCTCGCCGTATAACCGGTTTCTTGTTTCTGATCCCTCTCCCATCCCCTCTCTCCCTCGCCACACCCCTCCTTGAGCGTCTCCCGTCCCGACGCAAATTCCTCGTTCCGTAACCTCTCTCAGTCCGTGAGCGACGTTCGAGTGGTGAGCGACGACGGCGGCGTGCAGCACGTGGAGATGAACATGACGTTCCTCTGGCGCCTGCCCGCCATCTCCGGCACTTTCACCGCGCATGTTCTCATGATCCAAGACAGACCCAACCGCATGGTGTGCTTTGTTTATCGCTGCGGATGAGTCCGATTCGTCCGCCCGTCCGTCAGTTGTTTGTGCCTGGTTGCATTGTTTGTTTTCCAGGCTCCCTTCCTCGCATAAACCTCACCTTGCCTTCCTGTATGCCGCTCTGGCTATCTCCCCACCTGCATTTCCACTTGTCCCTCCGCATCCGTCTCACATTCCCCCTGTATATCCCAGCTCTCGTACGAGCTCACGCGACCCGGATTCATGAAGAAATTTCAGGGCTTCTGGAAGGTCGAGCCGCTCGTCGTGCCATCGTCTCCCGCAATCAGCGGCGCATATGAATCTGATGATCGCGGCAGCCAAGGTTCTAGCTCGAGCATCATCCCCCCGACGCAACCCGGCGGTCCCAGCAATCCGAGCAATATCAGTAAAAGCAACAGCCATGACAGCAGCGACAGCAATAGTAGCAGCAGCAACAAGCCTGGCGATGGCAGCAATGATCCGTCTCAGAGCCCGATCAGCATTCTTAGCTATGAGAGCTGCCCGGATCTTCTTGCTTTCGCGGAGTCCGCAGAAACTGCGGGAACAGCGCCAGGACGCGCCTCGCAGGCTGTCGCATGCCTTGGATCCGCACTGGATTCGGACGACGCTAATATCGTCATGTCAGGTGTGGTAACAGCAGCAGCTGCAGCAGGAGGACGAGGAGGAGGAGGAGGAACAGTGCCGCCAGCGCTGTCGCCAGCAGCGAGGCGCGTCGCGTCTCGCATCGTGTTGCATCAGATTGCACAGCCCTCCGTGGCGCCTCCTCCGGTGTTCCGCAAGTGCCTCAAGGGAATCCTGCAAACCTCAACGCGCGACATGCTCCGGGATTTCCAAAACGAGGCGGCGCGAATCCGCTCCAGCCGCGGCGAGGAGCGGCTCGGAGAGACAGAGGAGGGAGGTAAAGGGGCACAGGTAGCGCGGGAACGAGCTGAGAAGCGCACCGCGTCGTTTCTTCACAAGGAGACGTTGCGGGCCTCGGGACTATCGCCGGGGTCTAAAGTTGTAGGCTCTGGTGGGTTCGCGGCTAATCTGGGGAAGAAAACCGGGATGAATCTAGTGAAGGGCGCCATGAGTCGCAGCAAGAAAGGGCTCACGTCTCTGGTGAAAGCAGGGAGGAAGTGAGGCAGGGTGGTCAGCGGTATATTGTACCCTATATTAAGCAGGTACTAGCGAGCCAGGGTAGGAGGTAGAGGATCCTTCCCAGTCATGGGAAGATTATGGTATATCGACTTCATAAGAGCAATGTGTACATATCCATCACCAAGAGTGTTTCATTGCACATCAACAGGTGGAGTTGCATTCAGCATGGATAGCCAACACACGGATAGCTGTAAGAACTAAGAACCCAATGCCTAACTCTCTAGCCCTGAAGCAATGAAAAAGTTGCTTGGCATCGATTCCTCTCATTCTCCTTGGTTGCTGAGGAAACCACCCACAAATCCTGCTCCATTGCAGTTTCCACAAAGGATTGTACGCTTGCCTCTGTTTAAGTAGGGGAGCAGATGAGTGAATGTTGAACAAATAGGGAGAAAACAGAAGCGTTGTGTGTAAGGGCAAGACCATAGGGTTAGAACAGGCAGTCAGCCACCCTATGCTCCTGTTTTCACGACCAGAAAAAGCAACAAGCCAAAAAGAGCAGCATGTAGTCATCGTGCCTTCCCAAGTATGACTGGCAACTTCAAATGTAGCCAGTAGGCAACTTGTCAGCTACAACAAGTCAGCAGAAGCAGCAGCAGCAGCAGCACCGGACGCGGACGTACCTGCAGAGCCAGCAGCTGGTGCCCTTCTTGAAGCGGCCCTGGAAGTGATCCTCCAGGTTCACTCCTCCGCCCTGGCACTGCTTGCACTGCACCGCGCCTGTCACGGTGAGCGGGGGAATGGGGAGGAAGGGGAGAAGGGAGGAGGGGGTGAGTGGAGATACGAAGCATTGAAGCGGCCCTAAAGTTGTTCTCCAGGTTCACTCCTCCGCCCTGGCACTGCTTGCACTGCACCGCGCCTGTGCGCACGCAGCGAAGGAGACGACGAGATGAGCGGATTGAGCGGGGGACGGAAGTAGGGGATGAGGGAAAGATGCCGGAGTGCATTGCTCCAGAAGGTTATGAGAACGGGGTGAGGGTGCGGGGAGTGGGAGAGGGAGGCGGTGGTGCGAAGAGGATGAACAGGAGAACAAGGATCAGGAGCATTAAATCGCTCGTTGCGGCAAACAGCTAGCCTCAGTTCATAAAATCTGCAAGAGCATCTTCTTCAGATCTTACGCATTCGTTGTACAGTAAATTGACAGGCCAGTCTGCGGACAATTATTCGAGAGTATAACAATATGCTCAAGTTTCACTCGCTGATTCCTTCCAGGACAACCAAACGATGTGCGTGCAATAATTGCGGATAGAAGAAACTGGGCTAGAAACATCATGCACTTGCCCTACCATTGCACATTCCCATTCCCTTCCCAAGACCGTACCTTCCCATTCCAAAGTCCGTAATGGCTGCAAATTACTCACAAACCGTCAGAAAGAGATTACTGGCTTACTCGGTTGCCAGCCCATATTATTTTCGGGGATATTTTTTATTGTTATCTTAAAAATCGATCACTCACCGTTTCCTTCGCAGTCCGTGCAGAGGATCGAGCCGGTCTTTGCGGCGACAGCGGCAACATCCGGGCCGACAACTGGCTTGTTTTCGTCGTCAGACGCGCGAACACGAACCTGTTGACACGTGCGCAGAATGGCAGGCAGGGTGAGACGCGGTGAGAACTCATTGGACGAGTGAAGCTGAGGCAGGGAGGAAAGATCGCAAAATGCAAATCTTAATTTGTTCCCCCTTCCTTGGCACGAAGATGAACACGGGACTTAATGTTGCTGCACGGAACCTAACACGAGAGAATAACATTGAAGAAGAGACAGAAGCGGTGTGCAAGGTTGAGTTGGCTTGCCTGGAAAACTCTGCCCTTGCTCCGACCAGCTTCTACTGAGGGCTTATGCGACGCCATAAACTGGGATGATGAGAGTTTGACGGAGGAGACAGCAGTGACGGTGACGAGGGAAGCCATTGCCGGCAACGGAGAAACGGCAGCGAAATAAGTGGAGGAAATGGACCAGGAATCAGGAATATGCCCAGAGGAGAATGTACGTCTATCGTTGGGAATGTGTTGCCTTTATAGCCGAGCGATGGCTTAATAAGCAGCGGTTCGGTATGGACAGAGACTGGTGTGCCGACTTCAGAGATCGATTCGGCCACAATGTGGTGGTGGGAGACTAGACGCGGTCGTCACGCAACCAGACCGACTCGAACTTTGAGGAAGGGTCGTGCGACTTCGGTTGCAAGGATGCAACAACGACGAAGGGATAGCAATGGCTCTGCGAGAGATCGTGTAAGGAGGAGGTCGTAATATAATAATCGAGAAATATCGTAACGGCTGAGATTAGAGGAACATCGAAGTGGAGCAAGAGATTCTCTAGGAGGTTCTAGAAACAGCCAGGGTTTAGAGATTGGGTTGGGTTGGGGGTGGCGGGAGAGAGGCAGAATATCACAAAAATATCTAAGAATGAGTGGGCCTTGACCAGAACCACGTCAGCGATTTGGGGCAGGTGACATTTTTTTCGGGTGATCAGGGAGGATGACCTGTACTGCAATGCCAAGGAATCCACTTTCCATGTTGCTGGTCGTTGATTGGGTTCCACGCTGGGCGGATGTGGCAAACGTATGTTTCATGTGGCTTAGAAGGTCACTCGGTATCCATTGCAGTTAGTGCAGACACAAAGTGTGGTGAAGCCAACTACCAGATTGACAAAAAAAAGGCATAACACTGCTTTTTTGCAATACATGTGAATTTTCACATTAGGAAAAAAAATAGTTCTGAAATGGAAGTAGGCATGTATGAATACAATAGAATAAAGCATCACAAAAAAATCACCTCATGATCATACCAAAAAGAGGACTAAAAAGTATTCTTTGAATCAATCTATCTTTGAGTTGCTTTCCTACTGTCCCCATCCGACTTGATTCCCGCACATGCAGCGCCGCATGCAGACACACACGCGTCAACTTCGCATTCTGCGAGGGCTTTGCTCAGCTGGAACCGTGCATCGCCAAGAAGAGGGTCTCGTGGCTGATGGATGTGTTTCTGGAGTTGGTTGGGAAGGGGTGCCTTTCTTGATACAGTCAACCAGCAACTAGTTGCTGTGCACCGACGACCGGCGAGAGCTTTTAATTCTCGCGTTTCACTCTACAAATCCTCCCTCGACTCGGCGAACTGGCTGCTGCATTCAGCACATCGACTGCCATCGTAGCGTTACCCTCCTCCATTGTTTCAAGACTTCCCATGGATCCAAGGAAGGGACAGGCCCAGTGGCAGCAGCAGCAGCAGGGAGGAGGCGGAACGTTTGGAAGCTTCCAGCAACAGTCAGGTCAGGGCGTTCAGCAGCAAGGCCAACAGCAAAGACAACAGGGGAGGCAGGGTTATTCTTATTCCTACTCCTCCGCCTACTCCAGCGGACCTGGGGGTGAATACGGGCAGGCGGACTTTTCACAGGACAAGGGGAGTGGTGGCGTGGAGCATCATCACGTTTCGTGGGGCCCTGGACAGGAGCCGCAGCACCATCACTTCTCTACTCAGGTACGCGCGTCTGTGTGTGCTTCTGTTGAGGCAGTCCGGAAACACAATTTTCCAATATCAACAATTTGACACGATTATCTTTCTGGTACCACCGTGGTGTCTGTTTATAATAAATTCGTGATGGGTACTGTGTTATCTCCCTTCCCTTTTCTTTGTGGGGATTAGGGCCAGCAACAGGGAGGCCAGCAACAGGGCGGCCAGCAACAGGGCGGCCAGCAACAGGGCGGCCAGCAACAGGGAGGCGAGCAAGGGATGCCAGAAGATCTGGCAGCTCTGCAGCAGGCGAGGAACGCAGTGCAGATGGACTCAATCCGTGCTGTTCAGGTATATTCACTTCACTATAGTGATTAGTCGGTGATGAGGTTAGCAGTATTGAGTGTATAATGTTGTTGCTTCCTTGCCATCTTGTGCACGGCCTGGCATTATGATTGTATGATGTTGCTGCTTCCTTACCATCTTGTGCAGGGCCTGCATCAGAGAGCGGGACGGCTGGCACACCATGAGGCACCACGAGGGGGAGAGAAGTAGACTCAAGATGCTTTCAAGATTACAGTTCAGCTGGAAGAGATTTTTGAAGTGGGAGGAACAACTCGGATTGTAAATAGGATGTGTGAAGTGGGAATGTGTATATAGTGGAAAGCAGGAAGAGCATTGTTGAATATAATGGAACCAAATTGGGCTTACCTATACAATCTGCGGAGTCTGGTTTTATTGGAGTGCGTCAGCGTCACGATTCCATCATCCTTTCCCCTTAGTTTGAAGGGTCGTATGCACCTCGAGAACACCCCACAAGAGGTTTTTCAACCCCAATTTGTTTCAGTTTCCAAACAAACCGTGCAGGAACGCGAACAAAAAGTATGTAACCGCACAAAATTGAGCTCTTCAAACCAACAAAATTGTTCAACCATCTCAAGCTTCAATTTAGTTGGTGGCTGAACTCATTAGGTGTGGCCAGAGCGCCTTGCCTAGCTTTCTTCACCTGGAGAGCTGATCCTAACATCACAATTTCTCTAGCTCTGTGCTCGACAACTTCGCTTCTGTTGCTGCTGTGGCCGAGCCGTCTAATGGCAAAAGATGAGTATGCTGTTATTGCCAAGGTACAGTTCTCTATACTTGTCACGGTAGATAACGAGTTGTCGTAGTGAACCTGGTGTTGATTGCATAAAACTTTCGGAATCGATGACGAGCCCTAACAATCGAATCGACGACGCTGCTCCTTGTACGGGCGAACATCAGACGAGCGCACAGCTTCGAAGCACTACTTCTCCCGATGGTGACGATTTCCGTGCCGCTGGTTACCCGAGCGAGTTCTCGTTTCGTCACTGGGCGGACGGCCACAGTAGCGACGGCGTCGCTTCGATACCAGGGCGACAATGCGAAACCGACCGATTAGAGGTTACGGAGGAATGGCGCGGCTTCGAAAGCGAGGAAACGGAAAGGGTCACAGGTCTGTTAGAAACCTCAGTGCTGCAGCCAGGTGGCTTAAGCTATGGAGGGAAGGACAACAAAGTGAGCCTTGAGACGCGTCAAGAAACTGCAGCTCCAATGCTTGGACTTTTGGAGGCTCCAATGCTGCAGGGAGTTGGTGGTGGGGATGGATGGAAGGACAGCAGAATGAGCAGCAGAGGTGGGGGGTGTGGTGTTGGGGGGTCTGAGGAAGAGGGGCGTAGGGGTGGTGAACGGGGGAGGGAGGTGGGCGAGAAGGTGGAGAGCAGAACAAAGGAGGAGAACGAGGAGAAGGAGAAGGAGAAGGAGAAGGAGAAGAAGCAGGAGGCGTGGTCTTCGTATGAGACGGTTTTCACGAATGCGAAAGCAGGTACGGAGCTTGTGGTAGTAGCAGGAACGGGACGGAGCACTAAAAAACGGAGCACACGGAAAAGAGAGCGTACCCCACCTCCTTCCACGTGTGGTGTGGAGGAGGACGATGACTACATCCCAGCTGGCAATCCGTCTGGTGTGGTGGTCCGTCCGTTGATCCATTGATCCATGGATGCATGCATGCATGGATCCACCACCAGCTGGCTTCCCGTCCTCCCTCCCCCCCCCCCCCCCCCCCCCCCTTTCCCCCCACCCCGACGGTGCTGTTGGCAAACGTCGCTGACTGTTGGCACAGCTAACGCATCTGTCTCTTTTGCGATAGCTGTGTCCGTCCGTGTTTCGCTCTCGAGCCCCAGGCATGGAGGGTGTGAATCGCGAGTGAGTGAAGCGCATAGTATACGCCGTGAGCCACGCACGGCAGCCGGGGCCTCAGTCTATCAACCGATTCTCTCTTCTCCTCCCCAACCCCCCGCTGTCCAGTCGTTCTCCAGGCATGGAGGGGCGGACAAGGAACGAGTGAAGCACATCGTGTACAGCATGAGGCAGGGATCCCGGTTATTCCAGCTCTCTTCTCCTCCCCACCCGGCCCCACTTTCCAGGCATGGAGGGTGTGGACAAGGAGCGAGTGAAGCGCATAGGATACGCCATGAGCCAGGGGTCGCGCTTCTTCCAGCACGAGCAGCGCAAGGAGGCAGCCCTCCTCTCCAAAATCGCAAGCAGGCCATTCCCCCGGAGAAACTCGCCCTACTAGAGAGACAGGCGGATAGGATGCTGGCGCGGATGGTGGTAGAGGCGAGCAGGGAGGACGGCACAAGCCAAGGCAGCCGGGGCGTCAATCGATCAACCGATTCTCTTCTCTCCTCCCCAACCCCCCGCCCTCCACTCTGTTTCCAGGCATGGAGGGGGTGGACAAGGAGCGGGTGAAACGGATTGTCTATGCCATGAGCCAGGGGTCGCGCTTCTTCCAGCACGAGCAGCGCAAGGAGGCAGCGCTCCTCTCCAAGATCGCCCACATGCAGCGCGCCAAGCAGGCCATTCCCCCGGAGAAACTCGCCCTACTGGAGAGACAGGCGGATGGGATGCTGGCGCGGATGGTGGCGGAGGCGAGCAGGGAGGAGCGGCGGCGCGTGTGGGTGCATGTGGACATGGATGCGTTCTATGCGGCGGTGGAGGCGCTGGGGGATGCAAGGTTGAGAGACGTGCCCATGGCTGTTGGCGGCATGGGCATGCTGTGTACTGCCAACTATGAGGTGAGTCTGTGGGGGGTTGGGGCAAGGGAGGACGGGAAACAGGGGGATGGAAAGAGGAGGGGAGAGGTGGGGATGGGGGGAAAAGGGGATAGGGTGAGTGAGGGTAGGTGTCAACAGTTGGGGTAGACGTGGGCTGGTGAAGGGGAGGAGGAGGCGAGCAGGGAGGGGCGGCGCGTGTGGGTGCATGTGGACATGGATGCGTTCTATGCGGCGGTGGAGGTGCTGGGGGATGCAAGGTTGAGAGACGTGCCCATGGCTGTTGGCGGCATGGGCATGCTGTGTACTGCCAACTATGAGGTGAGGTTGGGAAGCAAGGGCTTGTTGTTGTGGGAGGGTAGGGGCGGAGGGGAGATGATATGCAGACGTGCAAGTTGAATGAATGGCCAAGCCTTGAGGCTTTGACTGAACTCCTTGTTTCCATCTCGTCACCCCTTTTCGCCTCCCATATCCGCCCCTCCCTCTCGTCCTCTTGTCCCACCCCACCCCTTTCCCCCACGAGACCCCTCTCGCCTCTCCCCGTCTCCCCCTCTCCCCATCTGCCCTCCCTCCCCCGTTCCCTGTCCCCCTTCCCTTCCCCGTCCCCGTGCCCCCTTCTTCCCGACTTCCCCTCTGCCCTCCCTTTCCCCCACACACCACATCTGTGCAGGCGCGCAAGTACGGGGTGCGGGCAGCCATGCCGGGGTTCATAGCACAAAAGCTGTGCCCTGAACACGTGTCCCTACTCGTCCCTCATATCCGCCCTTCCCTTCCTCCTTAGTCCCTTCCCCCCCACTCCCTTCCCCCCGACTACCTTCCCCACCACTCCCTTCACCCCCGACCTCTCCCCCCTAACCCCTCCTCACCCCCTTCCCCCCTCTCCACACACCACATCTGTGCAGGCGCGCAAGTACGGGGTGCGGGCAGCCATCCGGGGTTCATAGTGCAAAAGCTGTGCCCTGAACACGTGTCCCTACTCGTCCCTCATATCCGCCCTTCCCTTCCTCCTTACACCTTTCCCCCCCACTCCCTTCCCACCCACTCCCTTCCCCCCCACTCCCTTCCCCCCCACTCCCGTCCCCACCACGCCCTTCACCCCCGACCTCTCCCCCCTAACCCCTCCTCACTCCCTTCCCCCCTCTCCGCACACCACATCTGTGCAGGCACGCAAGTACGGGGTGCGGGCAGCCATGCCAGGGTTCATAGCACGCAAGCTGTGCCCTGAACTCGTGTTTGTGCCACCTGATTCCACGAAGTACCAGCACTACTCCAACCTCACACATGAAGGTGCGCTGCTGCTGGCGCTGCTGGTTTGGTTGGTCCCCCTGCCTGTCTGCTGACTGTCAGCTGAATCAACCCCCTTGTCCACTGATTCTCCTTCTCGTGTTTGTGCCACCTGATTTCACCAAGTACCAGCATTACTCAAACCTCACGCATGAAGGTGCACTGCTGCTGGCAATAATGGCGGCCCTTTCAGTCCCTGCCAGGCATCCACCCACTTGCTTGCTGACCCGCCTGATCATTTATCTCACCAAGTACCAGCACTACTCAAACCTCATGCATGCGCTGCTGGCAATGGTGGCGCCCCTTTCAGTCCCTGGCAGACATCCACCCACTTAACCACTTGATTCCTTACCCACTCAATCACAGTCTAGATAAATCGTATCTGGACGAATCTCACTCTTCTGCTTAACATTTTCCATTTCTCCAGAATCTTAGCCTGGCTCACAACATCCCACCGCACCCCACCCCACCCCGCCCCACACTCCGTGCATCACACTCCACCCAGTATTCCGCCAGTACGACCCGCACTTTGTGGCGCGCAGTCTAGATGAGGCGTATCTGGACATTACTGCCGTGTGCGAGGACAGGAGCATGACTCCAGCGCAGGTATTTTTCTTTGTGCGTGTGCCTGACTGGACATTCTCAGACAATCGTGGTCCCACCCACCTGGTCATGCCTGGTCACACCTGGTCACACCTGGTCACACCTGGTCACACCCGGTCACACCTGGTCACGCCTGGCCTGGTCACACCTGGTCACGCCTGGTCCCACCTGGTCATGCCTGGCCTGGTCACACCTGGTCACGCTTGGTCACGCCTGGTCACGCCTGGTCACGCCTGGTCACGCCTGGTCGCGCCTGGTCACGCCTGGTCATGCCTGGTCACCCCTGGTCCCACCTGGGGCGCCTGGTCATGCCTGGTCACGCCTGGTCACGCTTGGTCACGCCTGGTCACGCCTGGTCACGCCTGGTCACGCCTGGTCACGCCTGGTCACGCCTGGTCACGCCTGGTCATGCCTGGTCACGCCTGGTCACACCTGGTCACGCCTGGTCACGCCTGGTCATGCCTGGTCACCCCTGGTCCCACCTGGTCCCACCTGGTCCCACCTGGTCACGCCTGGTCACGCCTGGTCACGCCTGGTCACGCCTGGTCACGCCTGGTCACACCTGGTTCCACCTGGGTACTGCTTGGCACTCCTTGGCACTCTTGGGCAGACCTGGGCACGCAGTTTATGAAGACACTCTGTGCAAGTGTTTGCCGTTTGATTCAATATATATATGTATATATATATTGCAAATGTATATATATTATCTGTATGTGCTCGCTCGTTGGTGCTGCCCCAATTTATATCTGAAGCATCTCATAAAGTCCTGTGTTCTGGCTTACTGGTGCTGCTCCAAAACATGTACAAGGTGGCATGCACATACGGGGGCCTGCTTTCGAAGCACCTCTACCTCAACAACATGCTCTTTACTGGTCGTTCTCGTTGTCTCGTCGAGCGCCATTTGGAGGCCATGGTTCAATACGTGGCAGCAATTTACTTGGTTATGACACCGGAGAAGCACCTCAACCTCAAGAACATGCTCTTTAGTGGTCGTTCTCATTGTCTCACTCCCTACCCCTACGTCCCCCTACCTAACCATGCCAGGTAGCAGAGGAGCTACGGCACAAAGTGCGCTCTAGACACCTCGAAAACAGCTTCCCCACTGACTGCTCCCCTTGCCTCCTCCTCACCTCATCGCCTGGCCCCGCGTCCCCTTCAGTATGGCAGGTAGCAGAGGAGCTACGGCACAAGGTGTATGCTCTGCACACACTGACTGACGTGTGTTCAAGGCACCTCCCCGCTGACTGTTCTCCTTGTCTCCTCCTCACCTCATCGCCTGCCCCCGCGTCCCCTTATGTACGGCAGGTAGCAGAGGAGCTACGGCACAAGGTGCATGCCCACACCGGCCTCACGTGCAGTGCAGGAGTGGCCGCCAACAGAATGCTCGCCAAGGTGAGTGACTGGGGGAGGAGTTTTGAGACGTCTCAAAACGTCTCAAAAGTTGTTTTTGTTTTGAGACGTCAAATATCGTCCCAAAACTTGCCAAGGTGAGCGAACGGTGTGTGACTGGGTGAGGAGGAGGAGTGAAGGGGTTGTGGTGGGGTTTTGAGTTCACTAAACAACAGAGGTGCATGCATGCACGCATGGGGGCCTCTCCTGCAGTGCAGCAGTGGCAGCTGACAGAATGCTCGCTAAGGTGAGTGAACGGGGTGCAAGAGCGTGCACGAGAACAGAGGGGGAGGGGTCAACTGGTGGTCGTGTGCGTGTAAGTACATGTGTTCCCCCTCAGGTGCATCATGCTCGCCACCCGCACCGGTTTGCGCAACTGCTCAGGCTCGGTTTAGTTCACTTCTGAGACGTCTCAACTCATCACGCCCCCTTCTGTCCAACCGTGCAGGTGTGTGCTCTGACATCAATCAACAAGCCCAACGGGCAGTACGTGCCGTCATTCGACTGCGAAGTTGCTCACTCACTTCACCTGAACCAGCTTGTTCCTTTTCTCCGCGCCCCTTCCTCACCCCTCCCTCCTCTCCTCCCACCCGCACAGGTGTGCTCGGATATCAACAAGCCCAACGGATCCACGTGTTTTCGCATGACCAAGTTGCACACTCACCGGAATCCGCCTTTCCATTTGGTCCGCGACCCGACCCTTCCCTCCTCTCACCCGCACAGGTGTGCTCGGATATCAACCAGCCCAACGGGCAGTGCCTGCTGCTACCTGCCCTCCACGTTGCCGCTTGTTAATGTTTCATGATTCTCATTTTTTCCTATCCTCCGACTGACCTGCACAGGTGTGCTCGGACATCAACAAGCCCAACGGGCAGTACGTGCTGCCATTCGACCGTGAAGCCATTCTGAGCTTCATCTCCTCGCTGCCCATCCGCAAGGTGCTGCTCGCATGCCATGCCATGCCATGCCACGCCATGCCCGGGGGTATATATGCTCGGTCGCACTCTCTTGCATGCTCGGTCGCTTACTCAGTCATATGCTCGCTCAGTTTGTGTGTTCGTTTCTAGGCCGCCACAGTATTCTATGGTCTGTAGGTAAGTGTAGTCTGTGGTCGTGCAGCTCTTTTCCATGTAGTGTGCAGTTTGTAGGCTTGAGAATGTTGCTGTAGTAGTGGCATGGTCTGTAGTAGTGTGCAATTTGAGAATGTTGCTTTGATGTAGCATGTGATACGGCGTGCGTGTGATGTGCTGTATGCATGTTGTGGCATGCCATGTGTTGTGGCATGCCATATGGCATGGGGCATGGCATCTCATGGCATGGCATGGCATGGCATGGCATGTGATGCAGATAGGAGGAGTGGGGAAGGTGACAGAGCGGTTGCTACGGGGCGTGCTGGGGGTGAAGGTGTGTGCTGACATCATCACTCACAGAGGCGCCCTGCTCGCCCTCTTCTCACCCATATCCGCTGGTACGCTCCTCACCTCACACGTGCACTCTGGCACGCACACACGCATGCACACACGCATGCACACGGGCGGTGCCTCAGAAATCAGAGGCGCTCTGCTCGCCCTCTTCACCCCCATTTCCGCTGGTACGCTCATCACCTCGCACGTGCACACGCACGCACTTGCATCGCGTGCACGCGCATCCCCACAGGGACGCACAAATGCGCACACGGGCACACACAGAGAAATGCACTACTGCACGCACATGCATGCACAAACGCACGGGACAGGCCCTGCATAATTCTTACATGCATGTGGTGTTGCCATTGGCGGCCCTCACGCACCACCCTCACAAATTGCAATGTGCCCCCATGCCAGAGTTCCTTCCTGCAAGCGGCGTTGGGCATAGGCGGCAGCGGGGACGTGGAGGAGGGACCCAGGAAGAGCATCAGCTGCGAGCATAGGCGAGCGAGGAAATGTCTCAATTCCCCTGCTCCACCCTCACACATTGCAACCCACCCTACTCCCACAACAGAGTTCTTCCTGCAAGCTGCGCTGGGCATAGGCGGCAGTGGGGACGTGGAGGAGGGACCCAGGAAGAGTATTAGCTGCGAGCGCACCTTCTCGCCCCTCTCTGCAGAGCCTGCCATTCTCAATAAACTCGGTATGCTTTCATTGCTCCCCTCTCTCTCTGCGGAGCATTGAGACGATTCTTTCAGGCGCCTTAAGCCTTGCGCCTTCTCGCCCCTCTCTGCCGAGCCAACTATTCTCAATAAACTTGGTACGCTTTCATTGCTCCCCTCTCTCTCTGCGGAGTTTCTCACACCTTATCTTCTCGCCTCTCTCTGCTGAGCCGGCCATTCTCAATAAACCCGGTACGGTTCTATTGCTTCCTTCTCTCTGCCCACCCTTCTGGTATGAAATCAATAAACTCGGTACGTTTTCCATGCTACCTTTAGCTGTTGTTGTTGTCTACTTATTACTATTGGTTGTTACTAGCATTTGTTACTAGTGACGTTGTTCTCCCTCTCTCGCTTTGGCATTCAGGGCTGGCAAGTTTCCTCCCTGCATCTCTCTCTTTCCTCATGCAGTGAGGTGTATTTTGAGGCGCCTCAAAATGCAAGTTTCGTCCCTGCATCTCTCTCTCTCCTCATGCAGTGAGGTGTATTTTGAGGCGCCTCAAAATGCAAGTTTCCTCCCTGCATCTCTCTCTCTCCTCATGCAGTGAGGTGTATTTTGAGGCGCCTCAAATTGCAAGTTTCCTCCCTGCATCTCTCTCTCTCCTCATGCAGTGAGGTGTATTTTGAGGCGCCTCAAATTGCAAGTTTCCTCCCTGCATCTCTCTCTCTCCTCATGCAGTGAGGTGTATTTTGAGGCGCCTCAAAATGCAAGTTTCCTCCCTGCATCTCTCTCTCTCCTCATCATTCTTGCTCGCATTCATTCTCCGCCTTTTCCGCCTGCTTCTCCTCCTCCCCATCCTCACCCTTCGCCCAGAATCCCCAACTTCCTTTTTTCCCATTCCTCCTTTTTCTTGTCTACCTTTTCCTGTGTCTCTCTTCCCCTTCGAAGTGCAGAGCAACTGAGCTTCGCTCTGGCAAAGGACCTGGAGGAAGGAACATGGCATGGCATGAAGGGATTTCTGAGTCGACTGAACGAGGAGACCTTTGAGTTGACTCAGAAGTGGTCCGTCTCGTCCCTCCCCGTTTGATACAATTGTGCAGAGGAACTGAGCTTCGCTCTGGCAAAGGATCTTGAGGAACATGGCATGAAGGGCCGAACACTCACTCTCAAGCTCAAAACAACTGCTTTCGAGGTCCGTTTTTTCGAGTCACCTGGGTTTGTTTGTTTCAACCTGGTTTTTAGAAGACGTGCCTCCAAATTCACACTTGTTTTCAATCCCCCCTCTCCCGTCTCCCCTTTTCCCTCCCCACTCCCCTGTGGCAATCAGGTGCGCACACGGGCAGTGTCTGTTCCAGAGCCCATAGGGTCACAGCAGGAGATCTCTGCAACCTCTCAAAGCTTCAGAACTCAGTAACAGCAGCAGGAAGTAAAAGCCTCGTCCCTTTGCCCCTTGTCCCTCTCCCCCACCTCATCGCCCTCAGGTGCGCACACGGGCAGTGTCTGTACCAGAGCCCATAGGGTCACAGCAGGAGGTCTCTCTTTTAGGCCTCTCAAAGCTCTCCTTTTTTCTTCTCCCCTCCCCCCATTCCTCTCTCCACCTCATCGCCCTCAGGTGCGCACGCGGGCGGTGTCTGTACCAGAGCCCATAGGGTCACAGCAGGAGATGTGGCCGCTAGTTGTGAGGCTCATACGAGCAGAGCTGCCAGTCTCGGTGCGACTGCTAGGTGAGTGGTGCCGCTGGGTGATGAGCGGTGCTGCTGGGTGTGTGATCGTGCGGAATGGTGCTGCTGTGGCTATGGTACACTGACTGAGGTGGTCCCTTGGTGTTTTTTTGGGCCAGTGGCGCTGCTGCTGAGTGCAGAGTGGTGCTGCTGGGTGAGTGAGTGATGCTGCTAAGTGCAGAGTATTGCTACGTGAGCCATACAGAGTTGGCCGTTCTGTTGGCATGTGTGTGTGCTGCCACTGTTGTCGGCTTTTGAGGCGCCTCAAAATCACAGAGTTGGCCGTTCCTTCGGCATGTGTGTGTGTGTGCCACTGTTGTTGACACTAGTTTTGAGTGAGTTTTTTGAGAATTCTCAAAAGCTCCACTCAAAACCTAAATTTTGTCGGCATGTGTGCCACTGTTGTTGACAGAAAGCTGTGCTGTGATGTTTTTTTGAGAATTCTCAAAAAACATGTGACGTCCTTCTCTATCTCACGTCTGCTCTTTTGAGACGTCTCAAAAGTGCTGTGATGTGACGTCCTTCTCTATCTCACGTCTGCTCTGCGCATGAGCGCCCTTATGCCGCGCGCGCGCGGCAGCAGCAGGCAGTTTAAGAGATGCCTAAGAACAACACAGAGAATAGACGAATGTAACAGTAACGTCTGTTCTCCTGCCCATTCTTACCTCAGGTCTGCGCATGAGCGCCCTTGTGCCGCGCGCCAGCAGTGGCAGCAGCAGGCAGGCAACAATCAGTGAGGTGCTTGGAGGAAGGAGAGCAGTTGGTGGTAGTTCTGCCAAGGGGGCTGCTGAGGGGAAGTATTCTACCGGTTCCCCTGAGGGGAAGTTCCCTACAGGTCCAACTGAGGGGAAGCATTCTGCATATATGGGTGTTAAGAGAGTAGAACCGAGCAAGAGCAGGGGAGGAGAGGGGAGGGAGCGATTGCTGGAGGAGAATTCGGTGGAGGGAGAGGGATGGGCGCATGGAGGCGCCGAGAGGGTAGAGGAGAGGCGGCTTGGGGGAGAGTGGAGGGAGCATGCAAGATTACCCGATGCACGTGTGCAAAATGAGACAGGGGAAGAGGTGGGGGGGAAAGAGGAGTTGAGGGGCTGTGGCGATGGTGGTGCGGAGTTGAGTGGCTGTGAGTGGGAGGGTGGGTGGGATAGTGAGAGTGAGTGGGAGGAGTGTGGTGAGGGGATGGCTGAAGGGATGGATGGTGGGAGGAGCGGTGGGGGAGAGAGAGAGGTGAGGGAGGAGAGGGAGGAGAGGGAGGAGAGGGACGAGAAGGAGGAGAGGGAAGAGAGGGAGGAGAGGGAGGAGGAGGAGAGGGAGGAGCGGGAGGAGAGGAAAGAGGAGGAGATAGAAGAGAGGGAGGAGGAGGAAGAGAAGGAGAGAAGAGAAAGTGAGAACAGGGAAGGGAGGGAAGAGAGGGAGGAGAGAGAAGAGAGGATGAAGAACACTGATGTTGAGAAAGCATGTGCACAGGTGGGTAGGAGAAGGATGGAGGAGAGAGGGGACGAGGAGGAGGAGGAGGCGAAGGAAAAAGAGGTGACGTTGGCTCTGACTCAGAAGGCGTTTCAAATGCCTCCTATGTCGTTTGAAGATGCGACTCATTATCAGGAGGGCATGGAGAAGCAAGAGATGGTATGTTTCGGAAATGAGGCAGCAGCAGCAGAAGAAGAAGATGAGGCAAAAGCAGAACCAGCAGGAGCACTGGCTACTGGTGCGATGAGCCAGGCCTTTGAAACGAGTCACAGGACGAAACGTTTGCTGGGGAAGCGGGTGCAGGGGTCCCGAGTGGAAAAAGGGGGAAAGGCGGGAAGGGCAAGAAAGAAAAGGCAACTCGAGAAGCAGCAACAGCAGCAGCTGTGCATAGATTCGTTATTGCAGCATGTAGCAGCAGGAGGCACGAGAGGAGCAGGAGCATCTGGTGATGAGCGATTAGTAAGAGATACGAAAGCGAGTGGCGGGATGCGTTTCAGTAGTGTGGAAACAGCAACCAGTGCAGCTGGTGCAGCAGCAGCAGCAAGCGAAACAGGAAGAGTATCAGTTGGGCATTGTAACCAGGCAGGTACAAGTGTTTGCAGCATTCCCGCGAGAGGGCAACAGCTACAGCAACAGCAAGAGCAACCGCAACAGTACATGCCTGGCGCGGGTGACATCTCAGAGCAGGAAGAGGATATGGCGTGTGAAGAAAAGGAGACGTCTTGTGAAGAAAAGAAGACTGTATGTGAAGAAAATGATGAGAAGCTACGCAGAGATGAGCAAAGGGCCTGTGGAGGAGAGGGCACACAGGCTGATGATCAGCATGAGGTGACATGGGTGGCAGCGAGAGAATCGGGTACAATGAGGTGTGGCATGTGCGGGCATGTGGTGGAGGTTCATGAGCAGCCATGGGGACTGCAAGAGCATGCTGATTTCCACCTGGCGCTAGCCTTGACTCGCCTGGACCAGCGGGAAGGTGCAGATGCAGCCACAGCCGGTGTGCGTGTGTCTGCTTCTCGTGGTGGCAGGGATGCATGGCACAGATTTGCTGCTTCCCGTTCCAGGCCTTCTCAGAGAATTGATGGGGGTGGGAAAGGGCGAGGAGGAGGCAGGGGCAAGGGAAGGGGGAGAGGGAAGGGGAAGATGAGGGCAGGTAAGGGTGCTGGTAAGGGATGAGGAAAGGAATGGTTGGTTTGGTGTTCTTTACCAGTTTGTTTTGAGTTGTCTAGCAAGTCATGTGATTTTGTTGTTAGGAAGGATTTTATCATATCAATTTATGGTGCCCATTTAGTTACCATATGAGACTTGCCCTTCTATCTTCTCTTCAGACTAGTAATAACTACCATACTAGAATTTATGAAGTGACAGGTCATATTGGAAATGGAATGACTGCCTCAATTGCATTGCAACTATAAACAAATAGCACAGAAGAAATGTGCATCAATAAATGTTCAACCAGCATGCAGCATGCGGGGACAATGCGACCCACTTTATTCCCGTGCCACCGCCCTGAACTCCTCTGTGAACCTTACAACCCTACTCCTCGTCCTTCTCCTGCTCACCAACCTCCCTGCTGCTACTGCCGCTGCCACTGCTGCTGCTGCCACTGCTGCTGCTGCCACTACCACTGCTGCCACCCTTCCTCTCCTGCCCTCTAGCCATGCTCGCATCGTCCACCCTCAGCGCCACGCGTGCCGCCTCATAGCACACAAACGAGATGCCAGCAGCAGGGAGCAGCTTCAGCCACGTGGTTCCCAGCCCTCTGTACACAGCCAGTACGCCCTCTGTCTCTATGATACCCTTGAGAATGGTTGCGGCTGTCTGTCTCCCTGCAGCACCAGCGCCTGTGGCTGTCACACCTAGCTGTAGCCTCCTGCGGACCACCTGGTGGGTGGAATGAGAGTAGGGGGTGAGGGAGAGGGAGAGTGCTTGTTAGGATGGTTGGGGTTGTTGGGATGCATTGGTACAGGATTTTGAAGCCAGCAGGAAGCACCAACAGTGCAGCCCACAACAACCATGCAGCAAGCAGCAGATGATCCAACTGACCTCGAGGGGAAATGTGACTGCACTGGATGCAGAAGCGGCAGCAGCACCGAACAGCAGCGTGGCCTCGTTGGGCACCTGCTCCCTGCCGGTGGCCTTCCTGTACGCGGTGCGCAGCGCATCGTACACAAAGTAGTTGGTGGCTGCGTACGGCACCACGCCTAGCAACGATGGCACTATGCCACGGTACAGAGACAGGGCGCCCTGGATGATGGGGTGGGAGGGGGGAAAAGGAGGAGAGAGTATGATTAGGCGCCTGTAAAGTAGTTGGTGGCCGTGTACGGCACCACGCCCAGCAGTTACGTCACTATGCCGCGGTACAGAGAGAGGGCGCCTTGGAGGGAGGTAAGGCAGGGGGAAGGGGAGGGGGGGGGAGGGGATGGAGAGGAGAGGAGAGGCACGGAGCAGAGATGAGAACAAGGAGATTGAACTTGCTGTACCCATGCACACACTGTTTAGTCCAGGAGATGCTCGAGTCAAACGACGAACCCAAGCACACACACACACACACACTGTTGCGCTGATGCACCTCCAATGCGCGTCTTGCACACAAAACCTCCCCCCTTTCCTCCCCGACTCCTCTCCGCATTACGATTCTCCCACCCTTCACGGACCTCTTCCTGCACGATCCTTCCAACAGTGGATCGCAGGTCACAGTACAGCACATGGTGGGCACAACCTGGAATTTGGCTGCACGCTGATGCGCCCATGCACCTCCCAAGCAAGCCCAGCTGAACAACTACCCACTCCCACGCCCCAACCCACCCTCCTTCCTCCCCCGCAAACCCTTTCTCCCCTCTTCACCCACCCCTTCCTGCACCATCTTCCAAACAGTGGAACAGCTCTGGCTGAACGCTGATGCGCCCATGCACCTACCCACCCCCAATTCCAAACCACCCTTGACCCGATTTCACCTACCTCTTCCTGCACGATCTTTCGAACGGTAGACCCCAGGTCGCGGTACAGCTCGGGCTGAACGCTGATGCGCGTGCGGATGAGCTCCAGAGGGTACGTCAGCAGCGTGCCCGCCAGCCCCGCTGCTGCGCCCGACACGGGCGCCGCCACGTGCTGCAAGGGGTGGCCCGGGCGGTTCAGCAGGCGCCTGAGCATCTCGAACGTGCAGAGCTCGACTGCCTTGTGCGGCCCCACGCGGAGGCAGTTCACTCCGTTGCCTGACGAACGAGGGGGGAAGAGGGGGGGGGGAGAGAGGGGGGGGGAGAGAGGGACGGGATGGGGAAGTGAGGGGAAAGAAAAAGAGGGGGGAGGGGGGATGGGTTTGGGAAACGGAACAAGTGGAGAAACGCAGGGATGAAGGAGGAGGCAAGGGCGCCAAGGGGACTGGGGGACAGAGGGACCTTTTGACTGCGGGACGAGAGAGGTAGGAGCGAAGGATGACGCGGTGAGGGCGCACCTCGGAAGAAGCCTTTCCAGCCGTCTTTCGCCATGATCGCCGAGAACACGCTCGCCGCGGTCTTGTGCGCGCCAGGCAAGCCGTTGCTGCTGATGAGATGCGTCTGGGGGGTTGGAGGGAGGGCAGGCGGGAGTGCGGAGCATATGGCGGTGCGGGCGCGAGAAGAAAGCGAGTGAGCGGACGACAACGACGACAGCGCGGTGACCGCTTGTTGCATGCAGCATTCTGGGAACGGGAAGTTGCGGTGCAATGCGGTTCAGGGTGATCGAGAGAGAAGTCAGCGAGGCAGCAGAGAAAGACAGTACGGCAACGCGCTTTTTACACCGGCGAAACCGGAACAATCTGCAAGAGCAAAACGAACAAACAGACCAAACCACGAAGAAACAGCATGCTGCCGTACCCGGATGAGGTCTAAAGGCGCGACGGCGGTCCGCGACACGATTCCCGCAAACCCACCACACAGCAGCTGCTCCGGAACGCCCCCCCTCACCCGCACCGCCTTCCCTTCCCCCTCCCGTCCCCCCTTCCGCTCCTGCCGTTCGCCCTCGGCCCCCTCACCCTGCAGCATCCGCTCGTCCGCGTCCTTCCCTTCCGCCTGCCTTCCGCTCACCGCCAGCCGAACCTTTATCCCTCTTAACCCAACCGGACTCCTTCCGCCTTCCAAACTCAATCTCGCTTGCCCGCGGCTCCGCGCCGCTGCATTCTCCCACCGCTGGCCGCGCGGGAAACCCGCGGCGGCGGCTCGCACGAAGGAGCAGCTCTGCGCGCCGAGCGCAGCCACAGCTGCTCCTAGCCACTCCTCCGCCTCGTCCAGCCGCCGCTCGAGCGCGACTAGCGGAGGAGGCGGAGGAGGAGGCGGGGAAGCCAAATCCGTTACATCTCGCCACTGCGCGACCAGCTCTTGAGCCCGCGCATCGACCCGCCAGAAGAAAGTTTCACTTCCGTCTTCCTCGTTTCTGGTGCCGAATCTGTCGCCGAGACCGCTTCCTCCGCCGAAACTTGGGCTATTGGCACTTAGCCTTGTAGCTGTTTCCGAACCTGACGCCGCAGATGCCGCTGGTACCGCTGGTACCGCTAACGCCGCTGACGCCGCACGGCTGTCTCCCAGTTGTAGCCTCTCCTTGAAACTCCCAGACGATCCGCGCTTCGGAGCCGCTGGTCTCGTCGCAGGGACTGACTGAGGGATTGACGGAACCGACGCGAAGCGCTGACCCGGAGCGAAGACTTCGGCGAGGTGGGCTGCTCGACAGCCGACGGAAACATGCGGAGGGGGAGGAGCAGGAAGAGAACTGGTAGTAGGAGGAGGAGGTTGAGGGAGCGGAGGGTGGTGCAGAAGCGGCGAGGAGAGGGGAATTGCAAGAACGGAGTCGGCTTTCAGGGGGTGGGACGGCGAAGACGGGATGCTCAACGAACGGCTAGATTCCCACTTCATGTCTGCGTGGGAACGGGATGGGACCACGCGACAAAGGTGGGAAACACGAAGAAGAAGATGATGATAATGCCAGAAAGAAGACTTTCACGCAGACCGAGTCTTTTAAGTGAACCGAGCCTTTCACTCCAACCGGATCCTGCTCGTGGAGGAAAGCTTTCACGTGAAAACTCATGTACCTGCCGGCTTAGTGAAGAAGCGGATGGCGAATCTAGTAGCCCAGTTCATGGGTTAAGAAAATCGGTCATACAGCCGGCATCAGAAAAAAATAACACTCAGCGGAGCCAAAACAGTATCGACGTGCTCGGGGAGTACTTCGAGCGGTGTGCCCGGAATACGAGATTGTTGAGCGGTGGCTGTACTTACTGGCTATATTCACGCAACGGGAAAAGCTCTCCGGTGCTTGCTCGCTCCGACGAGCTTTCTCTGCTTCCTTGCAAGGCAGTAAAAAACAGTAGCGCACAATTAGTACGCCTCGCGGCCTAAGCTTACAACTAACGTCCTCCTCGATGACCGCGTGCAATAAACTGAGGAATTGCGTGAACGCGTAAGCAGAGGTGGCGTCTGTTACTTAGCGGTGATGTAAAGCGTGGTAAGCAGAGTTGGCGTGAAGCGTGGTAAGCAAGTGACGTAGACCGAGGGGTGTGATTTATGACGTGCAGGAGTTTTCACAAATAGGCCAATCTGTCTGAAATACCTCTGGCTAGGTCTGGTCTCGCTGGCCAATTCAAGCATGTAATGGGGTTATAGTCAGTTTCGGAGGGGTTTGGATATGGTTTATGGTAAAAGAAGGGTGGTGGAGGTGTGTGAACAAGACTCTGCGTGTTATTCAAGTTCTGAATTGCCAGCGCGGCGGTGGTGAAAGCAAGTGAAGATACAGATGCACAAATTTCCCTGGTGGATTTTGGCGGTGTCAGAGCCAGACTAGCATAGACATTGCCGCGTTTCGATTTCGGTGCTCCGGCAAGCTTTGGTCTCGTGTGCCACGTCGGCTGTGGAACAGACATGGACCTGTAGCAAGCGGGACATCGACGCCAAGTCAGAAAAAGCTCCCTCGAGCGTGCCGACGTGGAGTGGCTCGATTCACGCCAGCTCGTCATATCGTCTTCCCTCGAAAGTACCGCCAAGTGGTCTGGGTTCAAATTTCCATACTGCCATACAGCTCGAGCCTGAAACGCGGAAGGCAAGGCGGAAAGTCATTGAGGTGTGTGGTCTGGTTGAACCCAAAATGACACGCAATACAAAAAAATATCCGTGCAAAGATGGACGAACTTATGTGGCAATTATTGAGTCACGGGACCTGATCTAGTGGTGAAAGCGGTTTTAGCCAACGAGGTTTTCCAAACGCGCAGCGTCCTCATTCAGGTTTTGTGATCCAAAACAAGTTCACCAAAGACGTTTTCGACATATCAGTGCTCGACATGTGTTCATTCACGTGTTGTGACAGCTAGTTTCGTATGGAACCAGCCTGGTGGCAGAGGGCAGGAACTCCGATAACGATCAACCTGACAGTGTAGAACCATTGGGAATTTGATATAAAAACCAAGAGCCAAATCAATATGGAAACTTGGCAAAGCACAGTAAATCCATTACTACTACCGTACTAATTCATTGCAAGTCAGCTAAACAAGTAACCACTCAAGCCTCTGAAATCAGAGGTAATGTCAAAACCGCCAAGACAACCAATCCAGGTATGATACCATACGTGTGCACCACTAGCACTCCACATCACTTCCCTCAAAACCGCCATCTCATTACCCCTTCATTTCCCCACACTTCCCATACCTCTCATACTGCTCCTAACCTACACATCCGTCGCCGTTTCCTGCAAGTCCTGCACGAGCTTGAAGCACTGCGCGAGCAGTGTGGAGCAAACCGCCTGCCCGGCCGGAATGCCCGTCTTGGGCGAGCCACCGAAAATCCCCTCCACGCGGTCCCTATCAATGGCGTCCAGCTGCAGCTGGTAGATGTGCAGGTCCTCCGTGCTGTGCTTGATGTGCTTGCTCTTTAGCTCAATGAGCTTGCGCTTGATGCCGATAAGGTGTGTGTAGATGCCCCGCATCTCTGCGTTCATGTCGTGCGCGGAACCCAGCAGGATGCGCAGCAGCTCTGAGGGTGAGAAACATGGGGAAGGAGGTGGAGGTGTGGTGAAGGCGGGACATTGAACAAGGGTGGAAAAGAGGAGAGGGAGGGGGAGAAGTGAGGAAAGAGTGGGAAATGCAGAGGTGGTTTGTGCGTATGTGTGACATGGCTCTACTCATCACTGTCAGTCTCACCAATCCAACCAATCCACCACAATTCCAAGTCCCATTCGTTCAGCACCAGCCCTTTCGCCTCCTTCCTTCTCAACCGTCCCTCCATATCTTGCAAACGCAAGGCTTGGGTCATCTCAGCAAAAATCTCCATGCTCATCGTCCTCCACTGTGGATGGAGGGAAACTGGGCAATGTTCAACGACACCTTTCTCACCTCCCCAACACCAGCACCCGTCCACACACTAGAGCTTGCCTTTCACCCCCCCTTCCCGTTTCTGCTCGCCTAGAGGGCTAGAGCTACCCCCCATTCGATTTGCTGCAACGAGTTATAAAATTCCCCCCCATTCCTCTGCAACTCGCATTGTGATCGCATATTAGGTGCAAATGTCACATGCCCATGCCCCATAGTCCATATCCCATGCCCCACATTCTCCTTCCCCCTTCATACCCTCTTCTTTCACAACGTATTCTCCTCCTCGTTAACCCTCCCCTCCTTTCATGCTCATCGTTTCCTCCTTTTCGAGCCAAGAGGCCCCCACCCTTAAACAATGAACCCCCTCCCATTGCCCCCGCTCCTTCTGTCTCCCCTCCTTTCCCCTTTCCCCTTGCCCGTCCCCCCCCCCCTTCCCTTTTCCTCCCTCGCCCCACCTTCCGAGTATGACTGGTCCGCCACGCTTCCCCTTTTCCCCCGCTTTCCCCTCCTCCCTCCTCCCCCTGGTTCCCCCAGCCCCTAGGCCCCCTTCCCCCAACCCCCACAATTCCCCGTTCCCCTCCCCCCTGCACACCCCCCCCTCTCTTCCACCCTTTCCCCCTCCCCCACGTACCGTACATCTGGAACAGCACGGTGCTGCACTGCGCCTAGCCCGGCGGGATCGACTGCAGGTTGCCGGTGAATATCCCGTCCACGCATCGGAATTCGATAGCGTCGACCATGAGCTGGTAGTGGTGGATGTCCTCCAGCGAGTACGACCGATCCGCCTTCATCTTTCCCCTTTCCCTCTTCCCCCTACTCCCCCTTCCACCTCGCTCCCCCCTCTCCCTTGTTCCCCAGTCCCCTAGCCCCCATTCCCCTAGACTCTCTTCCCTCTACCTGCCTTCCCCCTGACCCCCATCCCCCACTCCCCCGCCCCCCACGCACCGTACACCTGGAACAGCACCGTGCTGCACTGCGCCTGGCCGGGCGGGATCGACTGCAGGTTTCCCGCGAAGATCCCGTCGACGCGGCGCGAGTCAATAGCGTCGACCATGAGCTGGTAGTGGTGGATGTCCTCCAGCGAGTACGACCGGTCCGCCTTCATCTTCTGCAGCTTGCGCTTCAGCCCGCACAGCGTGTCGTAGATCTGCTTCATCTCGGGGGGCATCTCGGAGGCCTTCACCACCAGCTCGCTCACCAGGTCTGGCGCGGGAGGGGGGGGGGGGGGGGGGAGGAAGGGGGGGAGTGGGGAGAAGTGGGGGGGAGGGGGGGAGAGGAACGGGGACCGGGATGGGGGAGGGGAAAGAAGGGAGGCGGAGGTTGTTCAGCTTGCGCTTCAGCCCGCACAGCGTGTCGTAGGTCTGCTTCATCTCCGGCGGCATCTTCGACGCCTTCACTACGAGCTCGCTGACAAGGTCTGGGGCGGGGGAAATCCGGGGAGAGACGGAGGCGGAAGGGGGGAGGGGAAGAGGAGGGGGTGACGGGGAGGAGGTGGGGAAGTGTTTGTATTCACTCAATCAGCCCGCAAAGCGTGTCGTAGATCTGCTTCATAGCCGACTCGTTCACGACCCGCTCGCTGACAAGGTATGGCAGCGGAAGGACAGGGGGGAGAGGGAGGGAGGGTGGAGTGGCAGCGGGAAAAGGAGGGGGGGAAGGCAGGAGGTGGGGTTGCTTAGCTCAGTTTGCTTGCACAGCTTTAAATGGCCGAAGGAGGTGGTTGGTATGGGGATAAAGGAGGGGTGACGGAAGAGAGGTGGTTGTTCGGCCAGCCCGCACAGCGTGTCGTAGATCGCACGAATTCGAACGAATTCGCATGAGTTCGCACGAGCTAGCGCGGTTGCATCACCCTAAGATCGTCCATAGGGTTCGTCGGCTATCAGTGTTTCGGAAAACCTCTCAAGAGGATCCGTCCGCGCACTTGTACTCCCGCCGCATCGACCCGCTATAGCCACGAGTCGTGGTCGCCGGTAAAAGAAAATGAAAAAAGAAACAAAAAGGGGGAAATAAGACTCAAACACACATACAGAAAAACTTTCGAAAAAAGGGGAAAAAAAAAATCATCCATATATCAGTAGCCTATGCTGCTCACCATACCCCTCGTCCGCGTGCTCCTGTCACCACAACCACGTGTCAGCACCCTCCTTCCCCCAGACCACTCACTCTCCGACGCTCACCATGAGCTTGTGTCAACTTACCCCCTCCCCGCTTTCCCCTTCTTCCTCTCTTCCCCTCTTTCTCTCCGCCGCTCACCGTAAGCCTCGTCCATGAGCTCGTGCAGGATCGCCTGGCCCTCGGGAATGACGGTCTTGAGCGACCCGCCGAAGATGCCGTCCACGCGTTTGTTATCCACCGCGTCGAGCCGCTCCTGCAGCGGCTGCAGCGCCTCCTCCGTCGGCGGCGTCTTCGCCTCCTGCATCGCCTTGAGCGTGTCGCGCAGGTCGAGAAGCTCCTTGTGGATCGGCACGAGGGCCTCGCTTAGCTTCTCCGTCGCCGCAGCCGAAGCGCCGGCGTCGGCGGCGGCATCGGCGGCGGGGACTGCGGCGGGGGGAGCGTCTGTCGCCATGGATTGAAGAGGGAGGCTGGAAAAGGAGAGGGTGGCGGGCTTGAGAGGATAGAACAGAGCAGCGTTTTATGAACGAACTTGAGCGTTGCGGCTAGGTAATAAGGGATGGAGACTGTAAGGGGACTACCGGAGACGGAATGTGGTGTGAAATCTCGCCGCTGGAATCGTCAAGAGGCGGAACTAGCAAGGTGACTGAAAGTGGACGGGCTTGGACAACAACTGAAAGGGGGGTGTCGGCGCCAAGTGTTGAACGGACAACGAATGGTCGTGACGAGCTGCGTCCAGCGGGATGACTGACTGCCTTGCCTGACTGACAGATGCTTGTGAGATGAGTAGGCAAATGACTCGAGATGTGAAACCACGAAATGCCAACCGAATGCTTGCTGGGAATAGTTGTAGTAGCAGAAGCTGGGGGGAGGCTTGGTTAGATCCAGGACGAATTCGTGGAAGGGTCAGGGAGTTTCAGTTTGGGAAGTTCGTTCGAAAGGCCAAGGGCGTAATCCAGAATGTTGGCCAGAAACCAGAGAGTGCCTGCTCTTTTGCTGTTCCTGGGGTTGTTCTGATGCAATGTAGGATGACACATTGTTCCTGGTTCCGCAACAAAATATTATTTTCTAGACAGCCCCTGCGTCGGCCGGAAGATGATGCAGTAAATTGGGAGATTGTCAATGTCAACGACAAACCCTGAACCCTTTGGAAGCACAGGTGGGGCAAGGCAGTGGAATCCTTGAAGAAGTGGATAAGATGGCATGGGTGCTGGACATATGTCGTGACGCTGGCAGCCAGGCATCACATGGTTGGTAGTCATGCAGGCTACACTACATGGGTTTGACTTGTCGAGGGAAGCTCATGCACACGTGGCATGCCGAGATTTCAACGATCTTACCTGCCACGCTGGACGCCTTGCGATCCACGATGCGCAGGATGCAGCAAACTTGCATCGCTTGTTACGCACAAGCAGAGTCGCACGCATTCAGATTTCGGCATTGGGAGAGGGTAACATCGGCAGCCTTCGCGAAGGGCTGGACCATGCAGCAAATCTCCAAACATGAAGGAGCGCACGCTGGACCATGCCACGCCAGCATGCCCAACACCGAATGTGGCGTCTTCAGTATTAGTAAGGCTGCGACCATTTTACAACTAGTACCGTATTGCCTGTTAACCCTCATGGTGAATAGAAGGAAAGTATCAATGATATAAACACCGTCAGAAACTTAACATTTTCACCACAGGATCCACAACATGTTATCCGTTAAGAAGTGCAGCTGTTAGATATACCTTCAATATTACACTTTGCTTGGACGCGTGAGAAGAATTATGCTTATTGTGTTGTCTCGGTTCAATGTATTTTGAGGCGGGTTTCAAGGAGGTCACTGCAGAAAAATACTATAGAAAATATGCGATTAGTGATTGGTCCACTCACAAGAATGTCAGGTTATATGCAGTTGTTTACAGTTAGTGTGTGAAAGAATTAATTTCCGTTGCAGCTGTTGCTCCAGTAGCGGGATTGAGTAGCAATATCTCCCACATATTTGGCACACTATTCGTGCCAATCAACTCTTGCCATGTCAGGCACAAATCGGCTGTAGAGCTTGTGGCACGTTCCTGATGCTGGCTTTCTGCTTTCTTGTTCTGCTGGAACGGTATTTCCCTCCATCTGACGAACGAATCGGACGGTTGAAAGGCTCAGGGAAGGGACGATGGTGGGCAGTGGTAAAGTCCAGCAGGCAAACGGAGTGTAGTACATTCCAAAGCGGTTCTCTGCTTCGTTCCGTGGGTGCTAAGCGCGGTCCGTATCGTTGCCTCCACGTCGGGAAGCGGGAAAGTACCAAAGCCTCCAATAACAGGCTTGCATGGAGTCTATGCTTCCTCCGCACAATCTGACAGGCAGTGCCAAACTCTTGATTGGCGGAATCAATCACCCCGCACTGCGGGGAGCGTTCCCCCTCATACCCGCGCCTAACCTCCCACTCCGCTGCCGCCAAATTGACAGACCAATTTCTCCGCACGTTAACGCGCCGCCGTCGCTTCTCATTGCCCAGTTTCAAAAGCAATTTCCGCCAAGGAACAACAGATCATCAGACCGCGCTTGGGCGCAGGGCATGTGGTGTGGTGTGGTGTCTACCCGCTGCTCCACGCGCTCTGACCTTCACGAATTTCACGCAAATAGCATAGGTGTGCGAGCTGGTGCTGAGGTGTCCACCTCCTGGGTTCATATTCTTTCGGCTTGCCCATTTTCGCCCAGCAGGTAGTGTACTAAACTTTTACATGTTTCGTAACATATTGTCAGGTAAACTAGCCAATCGAAACCTAATTCATGAGAAGCACCCTGCGCAGCGTCTGAGAGTTTTGACCCACGGGCCGCAGCCCAAACGACAACACTATGTTGGCGTCGCAGGCGAACTCCGGAGGCAAGATCTAAGACCCCCCTCCTTCCCCTTCTAGCCCCGCACTCTCCGCTTCCCCCACCTGAGAACTTTCGCTTGCCAAACTCCGTCATCCCGGCCCCGCCCCACACGGCACCCGCCCCGCTTCTCCTCCCGAGAAGGGGTTTCCGAGGTACTCCGATTTTCCCGCGCTGACCGCCAGAACCCCCCAATCGCCACGCCACAAACCTGGCCCCAAGCCTCACTGACCACTCACTGCAGAGGCCAGCTGCTACGGTGCTCCCTCAATCCCTCGTCCCGTATCTCCCCTTCCCTCCAATTTTTTCCCCAACCTCTCCCCTTCATCCCACACTCTCCCTCGCTTTCCCCCCATCTATCCACTCCTTCCAAACCCATACCACCCCTCATTCGTCCCGATTTTCCCCTCCCCCCTCCCTTCCCCCTATCCAATCCCTTTCCGTTCACCTTGCCTCTTCAGAAGCTTCTTTCAGCTTCCTTTCCTCCACTTCCTCCAGCTATTCTTTCTTGAACCCCCTCCACCGCCAGTTTTGCTGTTTTCCCCCCAGCCTCACCTGGCCTGACACCACTAACAGGGCCGTCGCTCAACCAAATACTAACTCTGTCTTTCCGATGAGCGCGGCCCGGTTCCGCGGTTCTTAGTACTACCTCTGAGCGGTGCGTCCTTTTCCTCTCGTCGCGAAGTGAGCGTCTTTAAAATATGGAGGGAGTCTGGCTGCAGCCGCAACTTGGCTTACCGCTGATGAGGTGGCGATGGCTGATGTGGCAACGAGGCGGTGGTCAAAGTCTGCCTCTCTCATCGCTGCTGCTGCTCGCGCTCGTCTTTCTTTCCATGGCGGGTCCGCAGGTTGCGAGCTCCGTGTCATCGATTCAGTCGCTTCCGCTTCTGCTGTCACGTCCTGCTGCGAGCAACGAGACCAAGTTTACGTCCGACCAGCACTCGACAAGGGGTTGCAATCCCCACTCAGGACCCGTACGCATCTGTTTCCCCACGATTTCTTCACTACCGAATTTGTTTCTTGTTTTTTTGGGAACCCCTTGTCTCAATATTGGTCTGTTTATCGCTAACAACGTCATTGCATATTTTGAAAACGTTTAACAAAAGTTACCGCGTTCGGTGGTGTTGAGTGACGTAGTCGCAGACATCACAATTATCATTCCTTCAAAATAAAATTTCATGTGTTACGTTCCTGCCTTTTCTTCTACATGTGTCCTTTACTAGACCTCTCCTGTCCTTCCATTGTTTTATAACCGTAGTCTTTGGAAGCTGACTTACAGTCATGCAAAACCGGCATTGACGAAACGACAAAACAACCCATTTCAATTAGATCTGAAATGTTCTTAGCTAAAAGGTCAATCGTTCTCCCGAGTGTTTTTCGTTGCAGCCGCATCTGTGTAGATCGGTTGGGTCGTTTTGATCTATGTCTACCTGGTTCTGTGGATCGACTTATTTTTTCATTTTCCCCTTTACGTCCTTTCCGTCATTTTGGGTAATTATGTCACCTGCAGGTCTGCTCCAGCAATGGCAGGAGGTTCGCAGACGAATGCGAAGCCATGGCTGCGACGAAAGGCCGACTGACCGTTGGTGAGTGGGATCAGCGTCTGTGCTTTCACATGATATTTGGTCGGTACTTCACAGTGCTTTATCGTTCCTGATCTTGGTCCTGGTGTTTCACTCTCGCTTCTCGGTCGCGCTTTCAACTCTGCTTGTATGATTCTTAAAACCCTGTACTCCTGCTTGCTTGCCTGCTCGCCCTCTCACCAGGTCCTTGCACTGCTAAGCGGAACTTCGGCGCTGGCAGGAACACCATCAGCAGAACCATCCGCACCATCATCACCCACGTGTACCGCTCTTCAACTAACGCCACCACAGATACCAAGATCGTTCCCAGCAGCAGCAGCAGCAGCAGCAGCAGTAGTGAAGGCAGCATAGGTAGCAGGAGTAGCAGTAGCTCTATTGTTTCTTCGGTAGGGGAGCCAACGCATGATGCAGCAGCAGCTAGCGCGCACAAGTCGCTGGCTTCGCCGGTCAAGTGCTCGTCGACCTGCCTTCGGCCTCACCCGTGCGTTTTCTCGCCCTTCCCTTAATCGTCTGGGTTCATATGTTTTCATCCCTCTCCCCTCGTTCCATCGAATCATGTATCGACCTGACTAAACATTGAGGCGCGTGAAGGTCTTGAATAACACTGGCACCATTGTCAGTAGCATGCCGTTTTCCTTTCATTGCGCATTTCTCCGCCCGTACCTTTCTTTACCTCGCCCTCCCTCGTTTGTCCAACCGGTTCTGTCTCACTCAACCGTTCCACGCATAACCCTTCCCCCCCTTACCTCCCCCCCTTACCTCCCCCCCTTCACCCGCCAATACCATTTATTTGCAGTGTGTGCGCCGTGAATGGCGTCACCTACTGGTGTGGGGCGCAGGAGGCGCAGTGCGCGGGGGCGGAAGTGGCCTATGAGGGCACATGTGCTCCAGAGAGTGGAACTCCGGGGTTAAGTCCGCGGACGTGGGAGGGGCTGGTGCTGGCTCATCAATTGTGGATCCTTGTTGCCGCGGCTACAGTGCTGGCAGGACTTATGTAGTGAACCAACTTTAGCCTGGTTTCCAAGTTAGTGGAAGATTACTGATAGCAGGACTTTTTATCAGCTTTAAGATTAGTTTCCACCCACGGCACTGAGTCAGGTTGCAGAAAAACCTAGGTACGTAGCAATGCTCCTCTGGTGTCACTCCGTGCTGACAAATCGCCTGGTGGCCTTGGCAGCAATCTCTTCCGTCAGCACCTCGGGGTTCCCTGCAAATGTAGAAGCTGAATATTGAGGTTTCAATTAACCAGGATGTAGGGTTATGCTGGATGTAGTAATTACAAACTTGACATAAAATTAACATTATTCGGATTGCTCACTAACTCTCAGAAAAGTGGTTTATCTGCTAGTTGCACTGATCCAAGATATGCATTCTAGTTGTAAATAAGAGAACAGCGATCGCTCTATTTCAGCCAGAATACAAGTTGATCTGCCTAACCTATTCACACACACAATCAGCTACCAGCCTGCTTCAATCGCCGTTCTCCTTCCGAAAACCCTCCGCTGGCTTTCCTTCCGCCAGTTCCTTCCCGGGTAGAAGCGCGTCCACAGCAGCGCAGTGCGGAGAGGTCGTGCCTACGACTTGCAGCTTCATGCAGCACTCGTGCAGGCGACGAATAGGGGAGGTACATCTGAGGAACGAAGGCGAGGAGATGTAAGTAGGAGCAGGATGTCGCTGCAATGTGACGGAGATTTGGAAGGAGAATGAACGGGCTGCGCACAGCAAATAGGACTCAGAAACGCTGGTACGACAAACGCGCCAAGTCTAAAAGAAACGTCAGTGTATAATAACAACTGAACGCGAGCGACATACAATGGGTTTACGACCTGCTGGATTGGAAGTCGTTGCGTTTCAGACATGACTGAATGGCGCAAGCGCGCGGCTTGCAGCCTTTGAGCTCCGCGATAGTTGGAGACGGGGACCCGCTAGCTGCCATAGCTCAGCTGAAGACGACCAGGAACCAGGCGCCATGGGATGGCTTCGTAGCGATGTTAATGCTGGTGCTGTTCCATTGTAAAGAAAATTGTCATCGTGCTTCATTAATTGTTAGGCTAGGGACTAAAATATTTAAGTAGCCCTAACAACTCGACCTATGTGGCATGATTATTACATGGAACCAGCTGTGCGTGTATCGAGGCAGCGAGAACAGGAGCATTGGGCATTCCTTTGTGCTTGCTTACAGAGAATTCGCTACACCTGGAAACGTTGTCGGCGGGAACGCACACTTTACTGAACTGTTTTTCAATTCGCAAAAAAGCATCATCAGGCTGGGTAATCTGCACCACCCTCCACCACATTCCACCATTCCACTCTCCCACATATTGCAGAAAATATATGGTCATTTACGTACCACTTAGAGCTCGCTTCGTTGTCTGACTTCGCATACACTATCCCGTGACTTCAGCGAATCCTGCTGTGACTTCTTATCCGTAATTCTAGGGTCAACCGTTGAGCTAACTCACGAATACCCCTCTTTTCGAATACCGTGAAATCCGCATTGTGAGCTCGACGCGGATGCGAGTGCGCGGAAAACCATGTCTGGCAAACCAAGCTCGTTTGACAAAGTGCGCGGCGGGAAGCTGGTCTTTAAAGGCGTCGGCGACGTCAGCAAGCTAATCAAGAAGAAGCACAAAAAACACAAGAAATCAGCGGACGCGGAAAACGCCGCGGCAGGAGGCGGGGAGGGAGGAGCCGCGGAGGGGGGAGAAGCGGTGGGGACCGAAGGAGAACCAGGCCAGGGGGGTGTTGAGGAATACGACACGGGGATAGGCTTTGCGCCTGACGGTCGCAAGAAGACTCCAAAGTATGAAGAAATGTTTCCGTTCGAAACGGTACGGTATTCGTACGCGCAGCCGGAAAAGCTGAAAACGCGGGAAGAGGCACTGGACGAGAGGTCCAAGAAGAAGGCGGATAAGTACTGCAAGTGACGAGGTTTTAGGACTTAAGTTAGTTACAGCTAATGCTCCTTTGGCGCACCCAACTTTGCCTTGTGCTCTGGGCTTATAAGTGGTTTTTGCATTTCGCAAAGGTTTGTCAATTCGCACCAGGCAAAAAGGGCTTATAAAAAGCAATTATAACCCACCATTGACTGTTTGACTTCAGTCTTCTCAGTCAAACCTCGGTTTCTGTTGTTAGTATTGGCTGATTTAGGTGGCAACTTGTTCGAGGTGCTTGTAAATGGGGTGCAACTTCACGGAACAAAACCAGCCGGGTGCAAGGTTTCCATCCGGTGCAAGGCAAATTCGCGTGCAGGAGGTGAGCATCATCTGTACCATTCAAATAGTGGTAGTAGTGGAAATGCATCTTGTTTTGCAGCGATGGTAGCGTTGCAGCCATTGCAGCCATCTTCCTAGGTGCCGTACATTGTGTTGGAAACAAATAATTCTAAGCGCCTCTGTCGTGTCGAAACACCAATGCACAAGCGAAGCACAACATATCGCAGCATCAGCGAGTCAACCCTCGGAGGTTGAGCAACTACTGGAGGTTACGCGAAAGTCAAAGGTCAGCGACCTTTGACCTGACAAGTACAGCGCGACAGCAAGGACACACAACTGACTCGCTACATAGCAGTTGCCCGAGTCGTCACTGTATCGAACCACAACAGCAACAGTAAAGTAGTTATAACTGTATCTCTTCGTATTCCTTGTACTCTTATATAATCATGTATCTCCTTGTTTTAATCAATCTACTTTGCCCTCACATACTAGCGCAAGGTGGTTCACAACTCTTTATTAAAACACTTCCGCTATTACATCAGTCCTACCCAGAGTTCACCTCTGGAAAGATCCTATGGGCTTTTCTCAGCTCAACATGGTATGAGAGCTATCAGGGGGAATTCAACTATCAAAACACCTACAACATCAGAAGACATGGCTACTCAGAAAGAAAGGAGTTCCTCCATCGGTTCTCCCGGCACTACTCCTACTCCACCTCCTGCCTCTGGCCTACAGACAGAGGAGGATACGGTAACAAGACCCAGGGCAACATCCACCGAGACTCCTGCGAATCAACCTGTAGGCTTCGACCAGAGCATGATGGATAAGTTTTTCTCCTTCATGTCCTTCTATGAGCAACACCAGCAATCGGTACCTGCGTACTCACACAACAGCAACAACAACAACGACGTGACTCCAATGAGCCTTGACGGTTCTCCTACGCATGTGGAAGTCAACAGCAGCAACCTACCGTAATACCCCGGATAGAAGCGCATCTGCGCTTATAATAAAACAGTGTTTTTTAGGGGGGTGCGCTTATAAATGAGTCAAAATTATAAGCGCATGCGCTTATATAATAACAAACACAGAAATATGTTATAAACGCACCAAACTGTGCATTTCATTCAAATCGAAATGTGTGGAGCGTTCTGAATCAGAATCTCGCGAGGGCGATTCTCTGCTGGCGCACAAGGGCAAGGACACGTCACTTCCACATAGGAATGTGTCATGCTCGCCCCATCAGAGTGTACGAACCAATAGCTTGCAGTCGCTCGTTCGCATCGCACAGGCTTGCCCCAGTATACGACCAGTAGCCTGCAGTCGCTCGCTCGCAGCGCACAGACAACAGGTGTTCCCGAGCCCCCCTGTCAGGTCAACTTCGCGCTGTTGCGCTTTTCCTGAGCGAGCCCGCCCTCGAGGGAGTCAAACAGAGTAGAAGTGGATGTGGACTCGCTTCAAAACGGGAAGTCGTTACTGTTTTAATCCGTTTTTTTGAAATATGTTTATACATGCGCTTATAATAAATCAGGGTTTTATAAGGGGTGCGCTTATAATTGAGGATCGGCCATAAGCGCATTGCTCCAGATACAAGCGCATGCGCTTAACATAGGCCTGCGCTTCTATCCGGGGCCATACGGTACATTTGTTCCGTACGAGCCCCAGCGCGGCTCCGTCAACTTTATGCCACAACCGCAGCCTGCACCTGGACAGGAGAAACCACTGGACGCACTTCAAGTCCAGTCGCAGTTCGCGCACGTCTTAAAACTTCAGACGTCAAGGCCTTTCGACGGAAAGGACTTCTTCACCTGGTCGTTCGAGTTCGAGTTAATGATGGAAGGTGCGCAGATTCTTGGCTTCTTCGACGGATCCCTGCCATACCGAACAAACGGCACACAGTACGAGAAGCAACAGTACACCTATCAGTCAATGATGGCGTATACGATTCTACTGAGGAACATCACCCCGAACCAGCAGCAGAATATACGGTCTTACCGGGGATACTGCAACTCCGCCGAACTCGCATACAGCCACTTGAAGAACTTTGTCAGAATGAGGAATGGGGGTTGCATTGATGTTGGTTGGGGTAAATATGACAAACCCTAACTTCTGTACCCCCTAAGACAAACCTCACTACAGGCTACAACATTTGACACACCCCCATAGCCTAAGTGAGGGGTGTCTAGCAAAAACAAAAAAAGAGTACGGTCACAAGACCAGTCCAAAAGAAAACAAAGCTCAGGGTGGATCACAACGTCACCACACACTCTGAGCACAAGCAACAGTGGCCACAAGGCCAGTCCAAGAGATCACAAGTATATATAGTAAGTGTACAAACGAAGCAGGCAATAAACTCAAGTCTACGCATGACTAGAACCTGTGTCAACAAGGCCTAACTGCACACAACACCTCTGGTGGTCACAAGGCGGAAGCGCCTTGGTGAAGATGTCTGCAGTGTTGGCCTCGGACTCTACAAACTCGAAGCGAGCCTGTCCACGCCTCTGCAACTCTCGCAGAAGAAAGTACCTGACGTGAATGTGCTTCACTCTGCTCTCCAGTCGCGGCTCACGACAGAGGAGGATCGACGCCTTGTTGTCAGTAAACAAGGTCGGTGCAGAGCTCGGCCGCTCACCAAGGTCGGCGAGCAAGAAGGTCAACCACCGCAACTCCTGTGCCGCCATGGCACCAGCGTAAATCTCAGCCTCAGCTGTAGAGGTCGAGACAGAAGAGGAGCGCGTGGAACGCCAGGAAACAGCTCCAGAACCCAGACTGAAACAGTACCCCTG